TTTTTGTAGAGATGAGGAGATGAGGTCTCCTTGTGTTGTCCCAGCTGGTCTTGAACTCCTGGTCTCAAGCTGTCCGCCCACCTGGACCACTCAGAGTGCTGAGATTGGAGGTGTGAGCCAGTGCCTGGCCTCTTCATTTATTGTTCTTTCTCTTCCTCAGACTGGATAATCAAAATTGACTATCTTCAAGTTTTGTAATTGTTTTTTTTTTTTTTTTTTTTTTTTTTTTGAGACGGAGTCTCGCTCTGTCACCCAGGCTGGAGTGCAGTGGCCGGATCTCAGCTCACTGCAAGCTCCGCCTCCCGGGTTCACGCCATTCTCCCGCCTCAGCCTCCCGAGTAGCTGGGACTACAGGCGCCCGCCACCTCGCCCGGCTAGTTTTTTGTATTTCTTAATAGAGACGGGGTTTCACTGTGTTAGCCAGGATGGTCTCGATCTCCTGACCTCGTGATCCGCCCGTCTCGGCCTCCCAAAGTGCTGGGATTACAGGCTTGAGCCACCGCGCCCGGCCTTTTGTAATTGTTTTATTTTTTTGAGACAAGGTCTTACTGTGTTGCCTCGGCTGGAGTGCAGTGATGCAGTCACAGTTCACTGCAACCTCATACTTCTCAATTCCAGAATTGTTAATTGGTTTCTTTTTATAATTTCCCATCTCATCTCACTATTGATATTCTTCATTTGGTCTCAAGTATGAGTGTTCTCATACTGGAAGTCATTAGGCATGTTTTTTTTTTCTTCTTTGAACTTGTTTATAAATAGTTCATTTAAAGTGTTTACCTAGTAAATCAAATATCTGGACTTGCCTACAGACAGTTTCTATTTAATGTCCTTTTTCCTGTGTATAGGCTTCATTTTCTTGTTTGAATGCTTTGCAATTTTTTGTTGAAAATGAGACATTTTAAGTACTGTAGTGTGGCAGCTCTGGAAATTGGATTTCCTACTTTAAGGTTTGTTACTGCTATTTGTTGTTGTTCCTGCTGTTATTTATTTGCGTAGTGACTTTCTTGGACTGATTTTATAAGTTTGTATTCTTTTTTGTGTGTGCTTATTTAGCTTAGTGGTCAGCTAATGATTGGACAGGGATTTTTAAAAATGCCTTGAACCTATAAGTTCAGCCTTAGTTGAGGGGTTCTATACTACTCAGGTGTGTCTTCAAATGTTGCACAGTCAATTTACAACTCTGCTTTAGCCTTTACTTCCTGCTTGTGTGGAGCTTTAAGGTCAGCCAAAGTGAGAGATACGGGAATTTGGGGGCACATGCACAGCTCTCCAAATGCAGGTGGCCTTTTGGATTTCCAGGAATATATCAGAGCCTTTCAAAGCCCTTGAGGACTTGCTGTTTTCCAGGTTTTCAATTTTTTGGTTAGCCTCTTTTTTTTTTTTTTTTTTTTTTTTTGAGACGGAGTCTCGCTCTGTCGCCCAGGCTGGAGTGCAGTTGCCGGATCTCAGCTCACTGCAAGCTCCGCCTCCTGGGTTTACGCCATTCTCCTGCCTCAGCCTCCCGAGTAGCTGGACTACAGGCGCCCACCACCTCGCCCGGCTAGTTTTTTGTATTTTTAGTAGAGACGGGTTTCACCGTGTTAGCCAGGATGGTCTCGATCTTCTGACCTCGTGATCCGCCTGTCTCGGCCTCCAAAGTGCTGGGATACAGGGCTGAGCCACCGCGCCTGGCCTATGGTTAGCCTCTTGTTAGCCCACTCTGGCAATGCTTTCTCAGGCAGCTGTGAAGTTATGTAGTTGCCACTGATTGTTTTTAATGAATGCCTGGGAAAAAGTAGTGAACTCAAAGCCAGATCAAATAAAGACAAATCTTGAGAATGAAACTTTTTAGTGAGCTACCAGATAGGTCAAATATTGACACTTCTTTTGAGAAGCTCTAAACCCATTCTGCCTCCTTCAGTGACTGCTTGACTGTTAGTTTTTACAGCTTAGGGAGATTTTTGGTTTTCAAAGCTATTGCATAACTGGGGAGAAGGTGATGGGAATAGAACATGTTAAAACACCACAAATATTGCTTTTTTTATTTTTTATTTTTTAACAGAGGTTCAGCCATTATTATTTTTTTCTTTCTCCTTTTTTTTTTTTTTTTTTTTTTTTTGAGAGAGTGATCTGTCACTCAGCCTGGAGTGCAGTGGCGTGATCATGGCTGACTGCAGCCTTGACCTCCCAGGTGCTAGCGATCCTCCCACCTAGTCTCCTGAGTAGCTGGGACTACAGGCGTGTGCCACCAATTTTTGTAGTTTTTGTAGAGACAGCGTTTGCCATGTTGCCTAGGCTGGTCTCAAACTCTTGGGCTCAAACAATTCATCTGCTTCAGTCACCCAAAGTGTGAGCCACCACACTCGACTCAGTCATTTTTCTGGAATAAAGCTCTATGGATTATTGCAAGCATTTGGTTGATTTGTAGAGTTCTGAAAAAGTTGGGTTTTGACAGTTTTTGATAGTGTTCTTGCTGCTTTTTTTAGAAGAATGGATTTTCAGAGGTCTTTACCATTCCAGCAATCAGCCTCCTTACATATTTTTTTGGAGGGAAAATTTTTATATCCTAAAATACAAAAGTTATGTGTTCATGCATTTTGATAAGATACAGAAGATTTCTATCACCTATGAAAGTTGACTTGTTCCTCTTTCCAGTAAATCTAGCCCATCCTTAGAGGCAATAACTGTTCTGACCTGTCATCATTGATTAGTTGTTCCTGTTCTAGAACTTGGGGAATCACAGATTATCTGCTCTTTTTTTAATCAGCCTTCTTTTACTTAGTATATCTGTGAACATTATCCATGTTGTTACATATATCAGTACTTCTGTTTTTTCCTTTTTTTTTTTTTTTTTTTGAGACGGAGTCTCGCTCAGTCGCCCAGGCTGGAGTGCCGTGGCGGGATCTCGGCTCACTGCAAGCTCCGCCTCCCGGGTTCCCGCCATTCTCCTGCCTCAGCCTCCCGAGTAGCTGGGACTACAGGTGCCGCCACCACGCCCAGCTAGTTTTTTGTATTTTTAGTAGAGACAGAGTTTCACCGTGTTAGCCAGGATGGTCTCGATCTCCTGACCTTGTGATCCGCCCACCTCGGCCTCCCAAAGTGCTGGGATTACAGGCGTGAGCCACCGCGCCCGGCTGTTTTTTCCTTTTTATGCTGAAAAGTATTCTATAATAAGAATGTATCATACTTTTAAGTTTTTGTTTTTGAGGCAGAACCTCACTATGTTGCCCAGACTGGAATGCAGTGGCGCTATCTCGGCTCACTGCAACCTCCACCTCCTGGGTTCAAGTGATCTTCCTGCCTCAGTCTCCTGAGTAGCTGGGACTACAGGCATCGCCACTATGCCCAGATAATTTTTGTATTTTTAGTAGAGAGGGGCAAACTCTGTTGGCCAGGCTGGTTTTGAACTCCTGACCTCAAGTGATCTGCCCACCTCGACCTCCCAAAGTGCTGGGATTACAGGCGTGAGCCACACACCTGGCCTTATATCATACTTTTTTGGATTCATTTGTTTATGGACATTTGGTACAAAATCACCAGTAGCAAAAAAATTGCTAGTTGTAGGCCCGCTCTTGCCTGAGATGCCCCATCTGGATTTTATCATCTACCTGAAGTGGCTCTGCAGTAGCTCTTTTTAGCAGGGACCCTACCAAAGTGACTTTTGGTGGTAGGTTAATTCACTTCAGATCAGCTGCACCAAGCAGATTTACAAATAGTTGGTTGTGTTTCTTTGCTGTATTATACAGTTTCTTGTCCTAGGTTTGTAAATTCTTAGCCCACTTTGGCAGTGAAAGGCATATTTCCCAATGTTTATTTATCTCTGTGGTTATCCTCTGATTCAGATGTTGTTAAATTTTCCTCTTTGCCTTTGGAACCAAACTGTTAAAACAGCAATTCCTATCCTGTAACAGAAATCTGAATGCATGGTCCTGCCTTGGCTGTCTTAAGAGAAAGAAATAAAGATGAAGAATAGACTTGGTCTTTGCTCTTAAGATACTTAAATATACTTGGAGAGATAAGACAAATATTACCTTTGGAAAAAAGTTATGTTATAAAGCAGCATATAATAGGGGAATAGAACACCAGTATTGTGGTTTATTGTGAAATATTTTATACCATCTAATGAGTAATAATAATAAAGTACTGAACTTTAAGAAAAAAGCTTACCTTTACAAAAATGGATTTAATTTCATGCATTTCACACATGCATCTGATTTCTTGACTGGAAGTAAAGAGTATAGTTGCCGCTAGAATTTAGGGAATGCTCATGGTAATGACAACATCCATCCTGTGTCACTGCAGAAAAGGTGAATAACTACTGGTGTAGACAAGGTAACTTCTAAGAGTTTAGAGCATGACAGTGAGCATTGTGCTGCTCTCATGTTTGTTTTGTGCATTGTTAAGTACATAATTTTATTTTCCTTTCATGGACAGTGAGTTCCAATCTCTTCATATGACTTTGTAAAAGCCATTTACATAGATTTCTAAATTATTTTTTATTTTTATTTTTTTTTTAGACAGAGTCTCTCTCTGTCACCAGGCTGGAGTGCGGTGGTGCGGTCTCTGCTCACTGCAACCTCTGCCTCCTGGGTTCAAACGATTCTCCTGCCTCAGCCTTCTGAGTGGCTGGGATTACAAGTGTGCACCACCATCCCTGGCTAATTTTTTTTTTTTTTTTTTTTGAGACGGAGTCTCGCTCTGTCGCCCAGGCTGGAGTGCAGTGGCGCGATCTCGGCTCACTACAAGTTCTGCTTCTGGGGTTCAAGCGATTCTCTTGCCTCGGTCTCCCGAGTAGCTGGGACTACAGGTGCCCGCCACCACGCCCAGCTATTTTTGTATTTTTAGTAGAGATGGGGTTTCACCATGTTGGCCAGGCTGGTCTCGATCTCCTAAACTCAAGTGATCCACTCGCGTCTGCCTCCCAAAGTGCTGAGATTACAGGTGTGAGCCACCGCGCCTGGCCATTTTTGTATTTTTAGTAGAGATGGTGTTTCTCCGTGTTGGCCAAGCTGGTCTTGAACTCCTGGCCTCCAGTGATCCACCTGCTTTGGCCTCCCAAAGTTCTGGGATTACAGGTGTGAGCCACCGTGCCGGCCTCTATCTAAATTAAAATGGAGGAGTTGGTCTATTTACTATTGGTACTATAGAAATGATAGTAGTCAGCTTGGGCTACCATCACAAAATACCAAAGACTGGATGCTTAAACGACAGAAATATTATTTCCTGTTGGAAATAACGTTTGGTTCCAGCAAGGTTTTGTTTTTGGTGAGGGTTCTCTTCCTGGCTTGCAGAAGATTGCCTTTCCTGCTTGCTGCATCCATATATGCTCTTTCCTCTGTGCCTATGTTGCGCTTGAGCCCTCTGGTGTCTCTTCTTATATGAACACTAATCTTGTAAGGTCAGGGTCCTATCCTTACAAGCTTATTTAATAATAATTGCTTCCTTACCCGAAATACAGCCACACTGTGTGTTAGGGCTTCAACATATGAATTTGAGGGAAGGACACATACATTCAGTTCATAAGAGAAATGTAAATACAATGTAATATATTTAAATTCTCCCCTAGATTTATCTTCATCAGTAGCACTGACTATATCTTAGAAACAGGCAGACGCCTTGAAATCATCAAAGATTGTTTTTTCTTTCTTGTCCTTTGGTACCTAATTATTCAGTGAACCCTGTTCAGTTACCTTTATCTCTTGAATCTTCCTTCTTACCTCCCTTTTTACTTTATGCCTTAGGCCTGTAATCCCAGCACTTTGGAGACAGAGGCGGGAGGATCGCTTGAGGCCATGCCTTGGAGTTCTTCTCTTGAGTTCATCTCTTGTGTGAACAAAAGCAGTAACCGCTCAACTGGTCTTTATACTGGTCTTTATACGGCCATTCTGACCTTTTCTCAGTCTGTTTATTGCATTGACACCAGTGTGCATGTAAACCTGATTGTTAGTTCTTTGTTTAAAGCCAGGAAAGGATTTTTAACATGGCTTAGAATGTCCTTCCATAAACTTGTACCTGATACCTTTATCAGTTAGGTTTATGTCTGGATGTATATTAAACAAAATAATAGTTTAAATAAGATATAAGGGTTTATTGTTTTCACACGTAAATCTGGAAGTAGGATATCCAAGGGTCATATGGCAGTTCCATGGTCATCTAGGCTTTTTTCTTTTTTCAGCCCAGAGGTCTTTTATTTTATGTTTTTTTAACATCTATTATGTCATGAATTCATAGGGAATAGGTTCCAGCAGCTCAGGCTCCTTCCTATTGGTTCTCACAAAGTGTGCTTCTCTGGGTGGAGCAGGCTGGCGCTTCAGTTGAACCCAGGTACCTTTCTCTTTGGCTTCTTTCTTTTTCTGATCATTTTCCTTCACGCGTTTCAGGAAGCTATCTCGGCTCTTAGAGTGCTTAATGTGCTCAATACGCACATTAATTCTCTTGGCAAGAATCTTGCCCTTAACTTGTTTGTTTACAATGCCAACAGCATGCTGGGTAACATGGTAGACTCTTACAGTTTTGCCATGGTAACACTTGTGGGGCATTCCTTTTTGAACAGTACCCATTCCCTTGATGTCTATGATAATCACCTTTCTTACAGATTCCCATATATGTGGCCAAAGGAACAACTCCATGTTTTCTAAAAGGCCTAGAGAACATGTATCGGTTGCCTCTCCTCTTTCCCTTTGTGTTCGTCATTTTGGCAAATTACTGGAAGATGGCGGTTCCGGCCGAAAGGCCATCTAGGCTTTTAAAAATCTTTTTGATCTCGCCATCCTTACTGTATGGCTTGTAACTTTTGACGTTCACTCAAATATAGATGTGTAAAATGGCTGCTGGAGATGCAGTCATTGTATCTTGAGTGCCAGGTGGGAAGAAGAGATAAGGGCAAAAGGATATTTGCCAGCTGTTACCTTTTAAGAACCCTTCTTGGAGGTCCCCCCTAGTCATTTCTACTACATTTCATTGGCCATTTCTAGTTGCAAGGGAAACTGAAAAGTAGAGTCATTTAGCTAAGGACATTATCATCTTGACTAAAGTCAGGGTTCTGTTTTGTCTGCCATTATCATTCTAACCTCATTTCTGGCAACTCTGCTTCTTATACCCTATACTCCATTTATATCATACTACTTGCAATTATTTGATTATCCATGTCACTTTATTCTTTTATATGTGTTTTCCCTGCACAGAATAGCCCTTTGCTTTTTTTTTTTTTTTTTTTTTGGCCAGGTGAACCCCTACTCTTTAGAAATCACCACTTCTTAGAAGCCTTTCCTGATTATTCCCTATTTTGGGACTCCATTGAATACCTCTACTTTAATGTATCCTATCTGGTATTATAGTTATTTTTGTTGTGTGCTATCTTTTCTACTAAATTTTGAAGTATTAGAATATGGAGACTATGTATTACTCATCTTGACTGATATAAGTAGACATTTAATAAATGCCTGACAGCTGGGTGCGGTGGCGCATGCCTGTAATCCCAGCACTTTGGGAGGAGGGGAAGGTGGATCACCTGAGGTCAGGAGTTCAAGACCAGCCTGGCCAACATGGTGAAACCCTGCCTCTACTGAAAATGCAAAAATTAGCCGGGTGTGGTGGTGCGCATCTGTACTTCCAGCTACTCGGGAGGCTGAGGCAGGAGAATTGCTTGAACCTGGGAGACGGAGGTTGCAGTGAGCCGACATCACTCATTCTAGCCTGGGGGACAGAGTGAGACTCCATCTCAAAAAAAAAAAAAAAAAGAAAAGAAAAGAAAAGAAAAAAGCCTGGCACAGTAGACATTTAATTAATGCTTGTTGAAAATAATCAGATAAAAGTACAATTTAAAAATAGCTAGGAAGGGCCTGACACAGTAGTGCATGCCTGTAGTCCCAACTACTTGGGCAGCAGAGGTGGGAGGATCACTTGAGCCCAGGAGTTGCTGAAAGGTTGGTGTGAGGGTGATGGGGGTTTGGGTAGGTGGTAGATTGGTGCCTGATTGCCGTGTGCTGCAAGGAACCAGAGAGTCTAACCACTCCTCGTAGACTTTCAACCAATCTCTGTTTTTTTTTTTCACAGCCTCACCTTTTACCCCCCTGACTTTTGTGGTAATTGGTACCATCCATTTCTGAGCCTTTTGGGGCTATGGTCAGGATAAATTCGTTTGCTTCTTGTTTGAATTTCTCGGCTGCTAGTGCTTAGGTTTTAACTTTCTTGGGTTGGCTTAGGTCAGTGACCACTTCAGATACTTAATGTGCACCAGAAAATTTTGACTGTCTCTTAGGTTCTCATTTCTCTCTTCTTCTATTGTTGTCTTTGTGAGTTTAAAAACAAATTTCAATAGCTTTTGGGGTACAGGTGGTTTTTCGTTACATGGATGAAGTGTACAGTAGTGAAATCTGAGATTTTAATGCACCCATCACCCAAGTAAGGTACATTGTACCCATTATGTAGTTTTTTTTGTTTGTTTGTTTTATTTTTTGTTTTTTTGAGACGGAGTTTCGCTCTTGTTGCCCAGGCTGGAGTGCAATGGCACGATCTCGGCTCATCGCAACCTCCGCCTCCCGTGTTCAAGCAATTCTCCTGCCTCAGCCTCCCGAGTAGCTGGAATTACAGGCATGCACCACCATGCCCGGCTAATTTTTTTTGTATTTTTAGTAGAGATGGGGTTTCTCCATGTTGGTCAGGCTGATCTTGAACTCCTGACCTCAGGTGATCCGCCCACCTCGGCCTCCCAAAGTGCTGGGATTACAGGCGTGAACCACCACGCCCGTCCCATTATGTAGTTTTTTATCCCTCTGTCCTTGTGAGTTTATATCTTCTTTTATTCTCACTGTAATTTTACTGAGAGAGGGATAGAGGGAGAGAGAGATTTTTAAAAAGTCCCCTTTTCCTTTTCTGAAGCTGCTTTTTCTTTCTAATACGAAGATAACTAATATCATTTCCTCATTTAAAAAATTTACCACACCTGGGCCGGGCACGGTGGCCCATGTGTGTAATCCCAGCACTTTGGGAGGCCTAGGCTGGCAGATCACTTGAGGTCAGGAGTTTCAGACCAGCCTGGCCAACGTGGTGAAACCCCCTCTCTACTAAAAATATAAAATTTACCCAGTGTTACGGTAGGTGCCTGTAATCCCTTCTACTGGGGGAGCTGAGGCAGGAGAATCGCTTGAACCTGGGAGGTGGAGGTTGCAGTGAGCTGAGATCATGCCACTGCACTCCAGCCTGGGCAACAGAGCGAGACTCAGTCTCAAAAAAAAAAAAAAAAAAAAAAAAATTACCACACCTGTAATCCTAGCACTTTGAGAGGCCAAGGCAGGTGGATTGCTTGAGCTCAGGAGTTTGAGACCCCGTCTGGGCAACATGACAAAACCCCATCGCTACTTAAATATTCAAAAAATTATCCACACGTGGCAGTGGGAGCCTGTGGTCCCAGCTACTTAGGAGGCTGAGGCGGGAGGATTGCTGAGCCTGGGAGGCGGAGGTTGCAGTGACTGAGATCATGCCACTGCACTCCAGCCTGGGTGACAGAGTGAGACCCCATCTCAAAAAACAACAACAACAACAAAGCAACGACAACAACAAAAACCACAGAACAGAAGTTAGGCTTGATTCTGTTATATTTTCTGTCTTGCTTAAATTTTTATTTTCAAAATTTTCAACATTTCACTGTATGGTGAACATTTTAATGTATTTATTTTCAGTAAATATGGATCTATAGGAACATTTCAGTGTCTGATATTCTAAGTGTATACAATAATTTATTCAATCTGTCCTTTGTTGATGGACATTGTTTGCTTCTTATAAACGCTTTAAAAGCTTATTTATATGTACATTTCCCGACAGTTTAAATGAATAAATTCATTAGTTATCAGATGGCTATATATATATGTATATACTTTGTTGGTTTTTTTTTGAGACAGAGTCTCACTCTGTCATTGTCCAGGTTGGAGTGTAGTGGGGCTATCTCAGTTCACTGCAACCTGTGCCTCCTCAACTCAAGCAATCCTCCTGCCTCAGCCACCTGAGTAACTGAGTAACCCACCACCTAGGCTGGCTAATTTTTGTATTTTTAGTAGAGGCGGGATTTCACAATGTTGGCCAGACTGGTCTTGAACTCCTGGCCTCAAGGGATGCACTTGCCTCAGTTTCCCAAAGTCCTGTCATTACAGGTGTGAGCTATCATGCCCGGCCACCAGATTATATTTTTAAAAAGCATGTTACCAAGTAGTTCTTCAAATAATCTGTAACCAACAGTATAGGTGATTACCTATACTGTTATATAGGTAATCTGTTAGATTAATATACAATTAATATATTAGATTAATTTTATCATAATATATTCTAATATGTTATTCTAATATTTAATTATATATTATTCTAATGTTATTCTAATAATATATTATTCTAATGTTTAATTTTCTTGTCTCCTTCACTGGAATGTGAACAACCTAATTTGTTGCTAAAGCCATTAATGAAAATTAGGCATCTTGAAGAAATACGTATTCTGCAGCCGAAGTTACCTCCTTCAATTGCAAATGTTAATATTATAAATCCAATTTTAAATAAAGTACCTAATAGTCATACTTTTCTCTAGCTACTTATTAAACTAGTCGTTCTTATTGTTTTATCATTGCTCTACATGTTGATGAACCATGAACCCTCCCTTCCTACCACAAGCATTTATTGAATTGATTAGCTGTGTGCCAAGCACTCTTTAGTCTTTATCTTTTTTTTTTTTTTTTTTAAAAGACAAAGTCTCACTCTGTCACCCAGGCTGGAGTGCAGTGGCATGATCGTGGCCCACTGCAGCCTTGACTTCCCGGGTTCAAGTGATCCTCCCATCTCAGCCTCCTGAGTAGCTATAGGCACGTGCCACCATGCGTGGCTAATTTTTCTGTTTTTGTAGAGACAGGGTCTCACTATGTTGCCTGGGGTGGTCTCTGACTTCTGGCCTCAAGCCATCCTACTGCCTTGGCCTCCTAAAGTGCTACGATTATAGGTATGAGCCACTGCACCCGGCCTAATCTTTATCTTACTGGTCCTTTCGGCCTTAACTTGATAAGTCCCCTTATCCTGGCCTTTGGAGCACATACTCTTCTGCTTATCCTTCTTTTCTCCTGACTCTTCCATATCAATTTTCTTCCTCTCTCTTAGTTTTTCCCTCTGTTTCCTTCCTCTTGTAGACACTACAAACACTGGCTTCTTGTAGTTTGGTATGTCTCATTATGCTTCTTCCTCATGGTTTTAATTACTACCTCTATACTGATGACTCCTATCAAACCTCTCTTAAGCTTTATATTTAACATTCTAAAACCCCATTGCATTTTCCAAAGTTTCCCATATTCAGTGTCCTTAAAGTTTATCATCTTTTTTCCAGACTTACCCTTTTTTTTTTTTTTAGAGACAGGGTCTTGCTCTGTCACCCAGGCTGGAGTGCAGTGGTCTATCTTGGCTCACTGCAAGCTCCACCTCCTGGGTTCATGCCATTCTCCTGCCTCAGCCTTCCAAGTGTCTGGGACTACAGATGCCCACCACCACGCCCAGCTAATCTTTTGTATTTTTAGTAGAGACGGAGTTTCACCGTGTTTGCCAGGATGGTCTCGATCTCCTGACCTCGTGATCCACCTGCCTTGGTCCCCCCAAGTGCTGGGATTACAGGTGTGAGCCACCGCGCCTGGCCTTTCCTGAGCCTCCCAAAGTGCTGGGATTACAGGCGTGAGCCACTGCGCCTGGCCTTTCCTGACTTATTCTTACATTCTCTGTCTACAAAATAACATAATCCTTGAAGTTTCTCAGTACTGGCTGGGCGCCGTGGCTCATGCCTGTAATCCCAGTCAAGGTGGGCAGATCACTTGAGGTCAGGAGCTCAAGACCAGCCTGGCCAACATGGTGAAACTAAAAATACAAAAATTAGCCTGGCGTGGTGGTGAGTGCCTGTAGTCCCAGGTACTTGGGAGGTTGAGGCAGGCAAACTGCTTGAACCTGGGAGACAGGTTACAGTGACCTGAGATTGTGCCACTGCACTCCAGCCTGGGCGACAGAGCGAGACTCCATCCCAAAAAAAGAAAAAAAAAGCTTCCCAGTACTGCTTCTACTCTCAGTCTAGCTTCAAGTTCTACTGACCCTCTGGATATTTCCCAAATTTAGCTCCTTTTCTTGTAGTAGCAGGCTGTCGCATCCAGATTTGTTCTGTTCTCTATATTATTGGTAAAGCAAGCTATCTGAATTATATCTAACTGTGTTTTGTTTCTTGGCTGCCTGCAGTTTTTATCTGAGTTGTATCTGTGTCCCTTCCTTATGACAGGACAGAGTCTCTGTGACTTGGTCTCACTACCTCTCTAGGTTTATCATTTGCTGCTCTGTGCTTTGTTTATTTTGTTGTAGTAAGATACTTTTACCATACGTTTCTATACTTCATTGTACTTTGAAGCAAACTAATTTCTGATCAACATGTCCCTATTCATTTTGCTTGGTTTAGCCTTTAAAATTTAATGTAATCCTCTTCATCTGGAAGAATTTGTTTTCTCTAGCATGGGTCAAAGGTACCATTTCTGTGCCTCCATTGTGATTGTGGTACTGATCATGTAATAGTAAAGGGTGTTTATTTCTTTGTTCTTGTAGATAGAGATTGTTCCGTATAGTGAAAAAAAGTTTTCGATGCATAAAATAATGGCTCAGTAATTTTTGTATTTTTGATAATGAGTATCTAAAAATTTTAGGTTGTTAATATCATCTATTTATTAATTATTTTCTTTGTAAATAATGACAAAATCCAAGCTAACCTTGAGAACTGTTCTCCACATGGATGGAGATGTACTCAAAGAGTACAAATAATATAATTTTTATCACAAAGGAGATTAATGTATTGCTACTGAAAACATCAATGCCAGAATCCAATGGCATTTAGCTTACCTGCTAATTTGAAATATTCGTTACTTCTTCTTTTCCCCTGCCTAAAATTTGTATGCGTGTATTAAAGTTTTGTCTTTTGAAAATTGAGGGTTAAGAATTTTGGCTTGGCATGGTGGCTCATGCCTATAATCCCAGCACTTCTGGAGGCCAAGGTGGGAAGATTGCCTGAGCCCAGGAGTTCAAGACCAGCCTGGGCAACATGGCGAGATCCATCTCTTTAAAAAAATATATATGTATATATACTTATTTTCTAAATTAGATGTGAAAATATTAGAATTATGACTAAATGTCATAGAGTTTGTTTTACTTAACCAAAAAAGAAGTGTAATGTTTGCCAAGTTTTCTTTTTTTTTCTTTTTATTTATTTATTTTTTTGAGACAGAGTCTCGCTCTATTGTCCAGGCTAGAGTGCGGTGGCATGGTCTTGGCTCAGTGCAACCTCCATCTCCCAGGTTCAAGTGATTATCGTGCCTCAGCCTCCCAAGTAGCTGGGATTATAGGCGTGCACCACCACGCCTGGCTAATTTTGTAATTTTTGTAGAGATGGGGTTTCGCCATGTTGACCAGGCTGATCTTGAACTCCTGGCCTTAAGTGATTCACCTCTCTTGGCCTCACAAAGTACTGGGATTATAGGCGTGAGCCACTGTGTCTAGCCTCAATTTTTCTTAGGAACCAGGTTGAAAAAAATTATGAGAGACCTCTTTTCTCTCCTGATTTCTTACCCATCTTTTGTTTCCAAATTGCAGTTACAGATGTAGAGCTAAAACGACTGAAGGATGCCTTCAAGAGGACCTGTGGACTCTCATATTACATGGGCCAGCACTGCTTCATCCGGGAGGTGCTTGGGGATGGAGTGCCTCCAAAAGTTGCTGAGGTAATCGTTCTGTTCTAAGTTTTCCTTTGAGGTAGTTATCCACCAGCCTAAGTTCCTGAGGGGCCTTCTGCTCTTAACAGATTTGATCTTACCTGTAGTTATTTTTCTTCCTGAGTGGGTAAACAAGGTTTTGTTTTAGATGTCAACATGGCTATGTTCTTAGAGGCCAAATGGGAGTACTACAGAGCTGTAATTCTGTTTCTTTTGTACTTTTGAGCTTTAATAGCCACTGATTATGATCATGGGAACATTTCCATGATTGGCTTCTTATTCTTAAAAAGTTAATCTCTGTGACATAAAATTTTTTATGTTGTAAGTACGTTTTATAAATTTTATGTTAAATAAAACTTTTGCATATAGTAAAATGTAGTTAATTCTATAAAATTAAATGTTGCAAATGAAATACTAGCTTATTGGGACTTAATTAAATTTTTATTTAAGTTCTACTAAAATGTTTAGGTAGAGATAAAATGTGCTAACTTGATATAAATATTCTCTTTCTAAAAATAATATGTTGAACCAGGCGCCACTGTGCGTACCTATCGTCCTAGCTACTTAGGAGGCTGAAGCAGGAAGCTTGCTTAAGCCCAAGAACTCGAGTCCAGTCTGGGCAACATAGTGAGACACTGTCTCTAAAAAAATAAAATAAAAGTTTACTATTTTGTAGTTATATACACAGATGTGCATTTTGTGATTCTAAATGAGAAATAAGAATAAAATTTATGCCGGGCGCGGTGGCTCACGCCTGTAATCCCAGCACTTTGGGAGGCCGAGGCGGGAGGATCACAAGGTCAGCAGATTGAGACCACGGTGAAACCCAGTCTCTACTAAAAATACAAAAAATTAGCCGGGCGAGGTGGCGGGCGCCTGTAGTCCCAGCTACTCAGGAGGCTGAGGCAGGAGAATGGCGTGAACCCAGGAGGCGGAGCTTGCAGTGAGCCGAGATCCTGCCACTGCACTCCAGCCTGGGTGACAGAGCAAGACTCCGTCTCAAAAATAAAATAAAATAAAATAAAATAAAATTTATTGGCTGGGTATGTTGGCTTATGCCTGTAATCTCAGCACTTTGGGAGATCGAGGCAGGAGGATCACTTGAGCTCAGGAGTTCCAGACCAGCCTGGGCAACATAGCGAGACCTCGTCTCTACTTAAAAACAACAACCAAAAAAAATTAGCAGACGTGGTGATGTGTGCCTGTAAGTCCCAGGTACTCAGGAGGCTGAGGCAGGAGGATTGTTTGAGTCCGGGAGATTGAGGCTAGAGCGAGCTATGATTGCACCACTGTACTCCAGCCTGGGTGACAGTGAGACCTTGTCTCAAAAGAAAAAAAGAATAAATTTTATAAGATAATAAAAATTATGGCTGGGCGCAGTGGCTCACGCCTATAATCCCAGCACTTTGAGAGGCTGAGGCGGGTGAATCACGAGGTCAGGAGTTCGAGACCAGCCTGGCCAACATGGTGAAACCCTATCTCTACTAAAAATAACAAAAAATTAGCTGGGCTTAGTGGCGGGTGCCTGTAATCCCAGCTACTCAGGAGGCTGAGGCAGGAGAATTGCTTGAACCCAGGAGGTGGAGGTTGCAGTGAGTCGAGACCATGCCACTGCACTCCAGCCCGGGCGACAGAGTGAGACTCTGCCTCAGAAAAAATGTATATATATTACAGCAATTTTAGGCTTGGTATATTATATAGAACCATTCTTTGCCATTTTTAATTAACCTTAGTTTCTATTTTTTTTTTTTTTTTTTGAGACAGAGATTTGCTCTTGTTGCCCAGGCTGGCATGCAATGACATGATCTTGGCTCACTGCAAATTTCGCTTCCCAGGTTCAAGCGATTCTCCTGCCTCAGCCTCCCGAGTAGCTGGGATTACAGGCACCCACCACCACGCCCAGCTAATTTTTTTGTATTTTTAGTAGAGACAAGATTTCACCATGTTGGCCAGGCTGGTCTTGAACTCCTGACCTCAGGTGATCTACCTGCCTTGGCCTCCCAAAGTGCTGGGATTACAGGCATGAGCCACTGCGCCTGACAGACAGTTTCTTTTTTTTTTTTTTGAGACAGAGTGTCGCTCAGCTGCCCAGGCTAGAGTGCCGTGGCATGATCTTAGCTCACTGCAACCTCCACACCCCCAGGTTCAAGCGATTCTCCTGCGTTAGCCTCCTAAGTAACTGGGACTACAGGCACGTGCCACCTTGCCTGGCTAATTTTTGTATGTTTAGTAGAAAAGGGGTTTCACCATGTTGGGTAGGATGGTCTCAATCTCTTGACCTTGTGACCCCCTACCTCAGTCTCCCAACGCAGGCGTGAGCCACCTCATCCGGCCAACAGTTTCTATTTCTAACATATGTTGTGTGCTTTTGACTCTTGTGATTTATATAGTATTATATAGTATAGAGATTGCATTTGTTTTTGTTTGCTCTTGCTTCTCTAGTTTTTTTTTTTTGAGATGGAGTCTGACTCTGTTGCCCAGGCTGGAGTGAAGTGGCGTGATCTCGGCTCACTGCAACCTCTGCCTTCTGAGTTCAAGCGATTCTCCTGCCTCAGCCTCCCGAGTAGCTGGGATTACAGGCATCTGCCACCATGCCCGGCTAATTTGTTGTGTTTTTAGTAGAGATGGAGTTTCACCATCTTGGCCAGGCTGGTCTTGAACTCCTGACCTCGTGATCCACCCGTCTCGGCCTCCCAAAGTGCTGGGATTACAGGCGTGAGCCACCACTCTGGCCTTCTCTAGTTCTTTTAATTGTGATGTTAGGGTGTCGATTTTAGATCTTTCCTGCTTTCTCTTGTGGGCATTTAGTGCTATAAATTTCCCTCTACACACTGCTTTAAATGTGTCCCAGAGATTCTGGTATACTGTGTCTTTCTTCCATTGGTTTCAAAGAACATCTTTATTTCTGCCTTCATTGCGTTATTTACCCAGTAGTCATTCAGGAGCAGGTTGTTCAGTTTCCAAGTAGTTGTGCGGTTTTGAGTGAGTTTCTTAATCCTGAGTTCTAATTTGATTACACTGTGGTGTGAGAGACAGTTTGTTGTGATTTCTGTTCTTTTACATTTGCTGAGGAGTGCTTTACTTCTAATTATGTGGTCAATTTTAGAATAAGTGTGATGTGGTGCTGAGAATGTATGTTCTGTTGATTTGGGGTGGAGAGTTCTGTAGATGTCTGTTAGGTCTGCCTGGTGCAGAGCTGAGTTAAGTCCTGGATATACTTGTTAACCTTGTGTCTCATTGATCTGTCTAATACTGACAGTAGAGTGTTAAAGTCTCCTGTTATTATTGTGTGGGAGTCCAAGTCTCTTTGTAGGTCTCTAAGGACTTGCTTTATGAATCTGGGTGCTCCTGCATTGGGTGCATATATATTTGGGATAGATAGCTCTTCTTGTTGAATTGATCCCTTTACCATTATGTAATGGCCCAAGATGGCCAAATAGGAACAGCTCTGGTCTGCAGCTCCCAGCGTGATTGATGCAGAAGACGGATGATTTCTGCATTTCCAACTGAGGTACCTGGTTCATCTCATTGGGACTGGTTGGACAAGGGTCGTTGATGACCTCCAGCAAACTCAACAGACCTGCAAGCTGAAGGACCCTGAACTGTAGAAGGAAAACTAACAAACAGAAAGGAATGCATCCAAAATCAACCAGAAAGGACACCTTACCCACCAAAACCATCTTAGGTCACCAACATCAAGACCAAACGTAGATAAAAACTACCAAAGATGGGAGAAACCAAAGCCGAAAAGCTGAAAAATTCAAAATCAGAGTGCCTCATCTCCTCCAAAAAGGATTGAAGGAACAAGGTCAGACCAGAGAATGACCGTCTTGAGAGTTTACAGAGTAGGGCTTCAGAACGTCGTAATGCAACAACTTCTCCGAAGCCTAAAGAGGATTCCGAAACCCATGGCAAGAAGCCTAAAAAACCTGGAAAAAGGTTAGACGAAGTGGCCTAACTAGAATAAACAGTGGTAGAGAAGACCGCCTTAAATGACCTGATGGAGCCTGAAAACCATGGCCATGAGAACTTTGGGATGCATGCACACAGCCTTCAGTAGCTGACTTCGATGCCAAGTGGACACGAAAGGTACAGCACGCGTAGCGAGATCAATAATGAAAACAAGTCGAGACGAACAAGGTACGAAAAACAGAGTAACAAAGCAAATAAACAAAGCCTCCAAGAACAGTGAGACTATGTTAGAAAGACCATCATCACGTTGATTGGTTTCTCTCCAGGGCAAAAGGCCCTACAAGCAGAAGAGACGTGGGGGCCCAATATTCAACATTCTTAAAGAAAAGAATTTTCAACCCAGAATTTCATATCGCACCAAACTCAGCTCGTAAGTGAAGGAAAAATAAAACCTTTACACAGAGAGCAATGCTGAGAGATTTTGTCCGAACCAGGCCTGCCTGACAGAGCTTGAATGAAGCCACTAAACATGGAAAGAAACAACTGCTACAGCCACTGCAAAAAGTGATGGGAAGAATGGGAAACCAGCGGGAAAATCAACTCTTTAGGAATATCCAGGAGAAACTTTCCCCAACCCTAGCAAGGCAGGCCAGACATTCAAATTCCAGGAAACACAAGCAAACCCCAAACAAAGATATTCCTCGAGAAGAGCAACCCCAAGACACATAATTGTCGATTCACCAAGCGTTGAAATGAAGGAAAAAATGTTAGGGCCAGCAGAGAGAAAGGTCAGTGGGT